CCACCACCACCACCTTCATTGTCACCACCACCACTACCACCTTCACCACCACTGTCACCACCACCACCTCCACCATGACCACCACCACCTTATTTGTAAAGTGCATCGCTATCTGCATTTACTAATACCTCTTTGATGAAGCTTTGATCTGGTTGTTTGGGTCAGTGTCTAGGCCACTCTCAACTGACTTCACTCTGCTTTCCACCCCGCCTCTAGCCGCCCAAGCAGAAAAGGTGCACACAATTCAAAATGAGAAGAAAGCCAAATGATAATCGGAACTTGGAAAGTATGACATGTGAATCTAGGAAAACTGGACATTCAAAAGGAACGTGGAACACATCAAAATTCGTATTCTAGGCCTTAGTGAGCTGAAATGGAGTGGTGTTGGCCATTTTTAATAAAAAATCATACGATCTGTTGGGAATGACAGATTCAAGAGGAATGGCTCTGAATTCATCCTCCAAAAGCACATTTCAAGCTCTATAGCATGATATCTATCTGCATACAAGGAAATCCAGTCAATACAACTATTAATCAAATGTATGCACCAACCACTAAAGCTAGTGATGCAGAAATTGAATTCCACCAACAGTCAGTCTAAAATTTGATCAAACATGCAACCAATCCATATTGATAATTATTGATGAGTGCAATGAAAACATTGGAAACAAAGGACTCTCAAAACTCAAACTCACTGCCACAGAGTCACTGCCCACTCACAGTGACCGTCAGGCCAGAGTAGAACTGTGAGTTTCTGAGAATAGAAGCCCTGGCTTTCTCCCATGGAGCAGGTTGCTGGTTTCAAACTGCTGGCCTTGTGGATAGCAGCCCAATACCATGACCACCACACCACCAGAGCTCCTAGTGGAAGAAACAGTCCTTGGAAAATATATCCTGGGTGACAGAAATGCAGCTAGAGATGACGTGAGAGAATTTTGCAACCCCTTCGTTGTGAATACCTTCTTTGAACAACACAAACAGTGACTCCACATCTGGACATCTCCAGATGAGATACACAGAAATCAAATTGACTCCATCTGTGGGAAGAGATGATGAGGAAGCTCAGTATCTGCAGCTAACACCAAGTCAGGGGTTGATTGGAACAGACCATCAATTGCTCATACGTAAGTTCAAGTGGAAGCTGAGGAAACTTCAAACAAGTCCATGAGAGTCAACATCTGCCTGTAAGTGTTCAAGACTATCTCGAGAGATGAATTGACACATTGGCACTAAGGACAGAGGACCTGTTGAGCTGTGGATGATACCAAGAACACCATGCATGAAGAAAGCAAAAGGTCACTGAAATGACAGAAGAGATCAAGGGACATAAGAGGAGACTCTGAAACTTGCTCTTAATCACAGGGTAGTGAAGGCAAATGGAAGAAATGATGAGGTAAAAGAACTAAAGCACACAATTCCAGATGGCAGCTAAGAAAATAAAGCGAGATATTATAATGAAATGTGCAAAGACCTAAAGTAAGGAAACCATAGACAAAGAACACACTCAGCAAACCTTGCACTCAAAGAGCTGAAGGAACAACGTTAAGGTTTCAGCTGCAATTTTGAAAGATTCTATGGGCAAAATATTGAAGGAGGCAGTAGATAGCAAAAGAAGATGGAAAGAATCCACAGAGCCACTGTACCAAAAAGAACTCGTTGACATTCCACCATTTCACGAGGAAGCATATGAGCATGAACCAATGGTACGAAAAGAAGAAGTCCAAGCTGCACTGAAGGCATTGGACTAAAAAGAAGGCTCCAGCAATCGGTGGACTACTAATCGAAATGTTTCAACAAGCTGATGAAGCACTGGAAGCACTCCCTTGTCTATGCCAGGAAGTTTGGAAGACAGCGACTTGGCCAACTGACTGGAAGAGATCCATATTCATACCCACTCCAAAGAAAGGTGGCGCAACAGAATGCTTGAGTTATAGAGCAACATCATTAAAATCACATGCACGTAAACTTTTGCCGAAGAGATCCCACAAAGGTTGCAGCAGTCCATTGACAAGGTTCAGGCTGGATTCAGGAGAACACGGATATTATTGGAATAAGAGACATCACTGCTGATATCAGATAGATGTTGCCCACAACATGCAGACGATACAACATTGCTAGCTGAGAGTGAGGAGCCCTTGATGAACTTGCTGATGAGGGTCAAGGATCGCAGCCTTCTGTACGGATGGCAACTCAATATAAAGAAAACAAAGATCCCCACAGCTAGACCAAGAGGTAGAATCGATGCTTTTGTATTCTGGTTCCGGCAAAAAATATTAAACACATCATCAACCCCCAAAAGAACACACAAATCTGTCCGGGAAGAGGACAGCTAAATGCTCCTTAGAAGCAAGGGTGGCAAGACTTTGTCTTACCTACTCTGTACATGTGATCATCAGGAGACCCGTTCCCGGAGAAGGACACCATGCTTGGTAGAGGGCCCATGAAACAAAGGAAGGCCCTCACTGAGGATGGAGACACTGACCCCAACGACGACGGGCTCAAACATAAGAACAGGGGTGAGGATGGCACCGGACCCGGGGCTCTTTGGTTCTGTCATGCACGAGGTTGCAATGAGTTGGAAATGACTTGAGGGCACCTTACAACAACGATAGGTGTACAGCCTTTACAAAAGAGTGGGGGAGCCCTCCTTGGGAGAGCCCCTCAGGAACTCTCACTCTCTTTCCCTCAAGCCCTGCTGGGACCATCCCCCCCAGGGCTGGCTACCGCATTCCCCAGTGCACCCAGAGGGAGCCACATGCCATACCTGCAGGTTCTTGTAGGTGCTCAGAAACGGCCAGGCCTGTGAGAAGGGGTGGGGGTGGGGTGAGACACATAGAAATTCAGCACATTCCCCACATGTTTCCCCTGCTCGCTAGCCTTCAACTCGCACTGACCGGGTCCTAGGACATCCTCAGCCTCCCTTGCCCCACACCCCCAAGGCCAGACCCTCCAGGACACACTGGTACATTCTCAGCAGCCAGAGCCCAGCAGGGCTCCCCAGGAACACACGGGCTGATTCTGCCCATTGGGAACCCCCGTCACCTCCGGTTCTCCCCCGGCCTCGTCCTAGCAGTGCGCCCACTCTCTGCTGCTCAGGGCTCCACTGCTGCCTGGTCTCTGCTCCGCCCACTCTCTCCCCACCCCCAGGTTGTGTGGGCCCCTTCTCCTCCAGAGGAGAGGGCTCAGCTCCACACAAGCCCGGCGGAGTGGTTCCCAGTGTCAGGCCTGGGCCCTCTGGGGACACAGAGGACTTCACAGAGTGGAGGGTGGCAGCTGCACGGCCCCCAGAACCTGACAAGTGGGGTCACGTTCTACCCCCACTTCCAGGTTTGGGTCTAAGAAATGCCCTGACTCCGACCCCTCCTGTGCTCCCTGGCTCCCCTCCCCACCCAGTGGGATCTCCTTCTGGGCCCCCGCTCTGGATGTGCCCATGCTGCCAGGGAGGCAGGGCTACGGGAACCCAGGGCCTTCTCCCATCTCAGGAAGCCTTCAGTGTGGAGCTGGAGGCTGTGGCTTTGCTGCCTCCCTGTCCTGAAAGAGCGACGTCCAGCCCGGGGCTCCCTGTCACACAGAGGCTGAGGGGAGTCATGGGGCCTCCTCCCTCTCAGGGTGGAGCGAGACTGGGGTTAGAGCCTGGGGTGGAGTGAGCCCAGCAGACTTGCAGAGAGCAGAGCCCTGGGAGAGATGCTCTAGGTGGTCTGCCACAGGGAGGCTTCACGCTACCTGATCTGGACACGTGACGTTGACCTTGATTTCAAACTCATGCCGTGAGGTCTTCTGGTTGATAGGCTCCAGCTAAACCAAGAAGCAGGGGGAAGGGCGTGAGACCGTGGAGGCAGGAGCTGAAAGGTCAGGTGCAGGTCTGTGGGTTAGGAAGGGAGGGACAGAACCCGCCCAACCTCAGCCATCTCACCATGTTGTTCCACAGGCCACAGGCTGCCTGGGCGTGCGCCTTGGCACTGAAGTGGAAGCAGTCGGGAGCAAAGAATGAGTGGTCCGGCAACCCCTCCTGGTCAGAAGGCAGAAAAAGGGGGGGGGGTGTCACCGAAGTGTGGGACAACACACGTGGTCTTGTGGCACCGCTGTGGGCTCTGGGCTACTGCCAGGCTTTTCTTTCTTTACCGCGGTCTTGGGCATGGCCACGTTTTCCAGGAAGGGCTGCACCACCACCGTGAAATCGTCCCTGGTGTCGTACCGCCCACTCTCCACCAGCAGGTGGCTCTCCTCCTGAGGGTGGCAAAGGGACAGGGTCAGGGCGCAGGTGCAGGGAAGAGGACGCAGAGGGGACAGAGGGGAGGCCTGCAGCTGTGGGGCTCCAAGGATCGGACAAGTGGCTGAGTGGAAACAGGGGTCTTGTTCTGCTTCGCCTTGGTGGGCTCTTTCCACCCTCTCCATCCTGGGCTCTTCACCAGAAGTTGGGTGAGGGCATCAGAGAACAAAATCCAGAAGTTCGTGGCTCGGAGCCCCACGTAGCAGCAGGTATGGCTGCCACTGACAGAGGCCCCGGGAAGTGTTTCTACTCCAAAGAATCCGTGAATTGGGGGATGGGTCCAATGTTTGCAGACCACTCTGGAACCGCTGGAAAACCTGACGTCATGGGGGACACTGACGTCAAGGGTGACAGATCATTTGGAAGCAAAAACAAAGCCATCCAGGGAGTCAGCTCCTCTGGTAAACGATTTGATGGGGGAAAGACAAAAAGGTGCTGCCTTTCTCCTGCCCCGAGCACCTCATTCCAACCAGACTGGAGGGGAGGGGTCAGGAGAGGGTGGGCTTCCTCTGAATGCCAGGTGCTTCCCAGGGCTGCTAACGACAAGGTCAGCCATTCAAAACCACCCGCTGCTCAGTAGGAGAAAGCCGAGGCTTTGTGCCCTGTAAAGACTGACAGGTGGCAGAATCATCCGGAAAAGGACCTCAGTAACAGTTGTTCAACAGAATGAGAAT